AAATAAATTATACAAAAACCAGTTTTGAAAGAGCGAATCATTGCGTTTTTATAGGGGTGTGATAAAGTGGTTGTAAATGATAAACCCCTTGTCGATTTTGGTAGATCTTCCATTCGAACCGAATGTAAAAAATTCATTTATTTTTTGTTATTTTGTCTGCTTGAAAAACCCTGGTTCACTTTGTTTTTTGCACACTTTTTGGAACAGCTTTGATAATTTAAGACTTGAGTTATTTTTATTTTCATTTTTATCCCAATCAGACGAAAGCCATTTTGGAATGGATTTTAGTTGTTTTTCGTTTAAAAAATACAAAATGTGAATTTTTTTGTTCCGGAGAGGCGTGACGGGTAAAATGAACATATTTTTTAATATAAATTAACTCATAGAGGAAAAAACACTCGAGTTTTTTTAGTCAACTACAAAAACAGACTTTATCTCTTCAATATTAAAACATAGTTTTTTAAAATCATATTGATGACTTGATATACACTTTATGCGGTGTATGTTTTTGTAATATAATTTTGTAAAATGAACGTCATAAAAACAAAATAATTATAGTGAAGAGGAGAAAAATGACTAGGTGTTAAATTAACTTTTGTTTATATAAAGACAATAATGGAATATAAAAATAAACACTTTACTGTATGTGTCATGTTTGTTACATTGAAATTAATTTGAAATATAGTCTTGTGTAATTAGATTAAATATTAAGAGGCCGTATTTTTTTAAAAGAACTAGTTGTGTTTAAAAATAAATTAATAAAAATAGTTAAATTATATTATAAACATAGTTTAATAATTACTATCATGAATTTTATAGGTATGCATATTTATATTGTTAATGTGTGTTTGAACATGAAAATGAACATTCTTTGAGCTTTGGATGATATACAAACACAATAATTATTCATAAACACGTTTATACATAAATTAAAAAATAATATAAATAATAATAATTATTCTATTTATTATTAAATTAGAATTTGTCTTTATTTAAATTAATCAACAAATAGAATATGATTGTGCCATATTCAAAACAGTCTTATAAAATATGCAAAGTAAATTTTGTGTCTTCAAATATGTAGTGCTGTTGTATTCAAATAATATTTAGAAATGAATGTTGACACAAATAGAGTCAAACACATAACTCAATTATAGTATGATATAAAAACAGAATAAAGTTAAAGTAATAATATGAAAGAAAAAAATGAGTTATTTTTAGTGTTATTTGTTATCAATTAAATTTTATAGTATTCATACTATTACAAGTTTAAAATTTAAAAAAATGTGAGAGTGATGTTAAGTGTTTATTTTTTGCTGGCTTTTTTGTTGTTGTTGACTGTTTGTTTGATATTTTTGTGTTTTGAATTCCCAAGTTTTGAATAAAATAATAAACAAATTTTATTATTGTATTTAGTTAATTTACTATAGTATTTAGTTTTTTTTTCGTCTTTTATTTTTTAATAATTTGTTATAAAAAATTATAATCTTACTATTATAAAATATATTAAATACAATAATAATTAGTTTTGTGTATTTTTGTTATTTTTTTAAAATCACATTTTAAAACAATATTCAAATCACCCATTTATTTTTAACATAACAACCATTTAAAAATATTAAATAAAACTATTTATATAATTAATTAAATTAATAAATTTAACTGATTTTTTAATTAAAACAACGAAAAATATTCGAAAAATCGTTTTAAAAGTTGTTTGTATATATGTATAATTTTTGATTTAAAAAATGAATAAAGAGCTAAAAATTGTTAGATTTTACCCCCTTTTAAATCAAATAAACCTTTAATAAAAGTATCATTTTTTATATTGTAATTATATAACCTTTTATCTTTTTTATTAAAAATCTTAATAAGAACTACAAATATTCAATAAGGGTTGAAAACCCCATAAAGCGATGGTAAATAAAAAATAAAAAAGACAACCAGAGGCAGACCAGAGGCAGACAGCAATTTGAGTGATGGCCAAAAAGAACAGAAGAAGACGCAACAAAACGAAAATGAGAGTAAACCCGAATGTTATCAACGTGTGGGATATTCAATAGACGATCATAAGTAAAAAGGTCTCTGTAATATTTAAATGAATATTGTGTCAACTTTTATGTATTCTATTTTATTTTTTTACTAAAACAAGTCTAAAAATAAATCATTATAAATATAACATTTAAAAATACAAGTCAAAAAACTTACTATTTTTTCTTATTCCCAAAAGTGCATTATAGGGTTTTTCTTTTTCTTTACACAAAATGAAAAGATGGTAAAAAGTCAAAATTGACTTGTTTTTGTTCTGGAAGATCTACCAAAATCGACAAGGGATTTATCATTTACAACCACTTTATCACACCCCTATATGTGTTCATATTCGCTTAGTCGCCATCTTTTTGTACAAATAATAAATTATCACATGATACTTTTTCTTTGTTACTACTTTAGTTTATTAAGGCAAATATGACTTTGCTCAAATTCGTTGTTTTTTTAAATAGTTTTGACTAATACCTCAAAATCATTGGTCTATTATATTAGTATAAAGTTTTCAATAAATTATGTTTGTATTTTTAACACTACACACTTTTAAAATGATTACACACTGACAATAATTAACAAATGGTATTTATTTATAATGTTTATATAGTATATTAAAAGTGATGACACAAGAAGAATATATAATCGAATTATGAGTTGTCTGATTAAAAAAGGAATAATTGTTAACATTGTAGAAATAGTAAAATGAGTTGTGAATGCATTGCTTTTTAGTATTTTAAAAATATTGGCAAAAAATTCTCAATTAAGCGTACTAATCCAGGTCCATGAAAAAGACACATCAACAAAAGCATGGTTCTATTCAAGGTTTAGTTAATTATTATCACAAAACACATAAATATTTTAAAGTTGGGTAAAGAATAAGACTTTATTCACAAAAGACATGATAGTATCATTGCCAATTAAAAACCATAAATACCCAGTAAAATTTTGTTTAAAATTTACCATTTGACATTCTCAAAGAAAAGGTACTTATAAATCTTTTTCATTGCTTTTCAAATCGATCGCTTTCACTTATTAAACACACCACAAAGGTGACATTATTGTGATTAACAATTGTATATTATCTGCTGGAGGTTTTAATATTACTTGGAGATTCGCCAGAAGAGGAATTACATTTTATACGTTTATTGCATTCTTTTTTTGATGTGTTATATAGTTAAATAATAAAAAATATGGTTATTTTTAATAATTTTAAAAATGTGGCATAGAATTATTCCAAAAAAGCAAAAAGTTATTGATTTTAATTAAAAAACCATATGTAAAGTTAGTTTTTTCCATTGTTAATTAAAAACCCGATTTTACTATTATAACCAACCTAATGTTTTGATTAAGATATAAAAAGTGAAGTTTAAATGATTTCACGCTTTAATTTGTTCGGTATAGTTTTATTGTCTGGTATAGCACCAGCACTAAAAGGTTTCCCACAAATCTAAATCACTTTTGATTTTGAAGCCAATAATATACAGAATATCTCAACAGAAGAAAAGACAACATAAAAAACTAAAAACACGACCACAAACGTAGAATATTCAAAGGAACAGACCTTCAAGATGGTTGCAACTTCTCTATTGCAAACACAAAGAAGTTTAATAAAGAAGATGACAAGATTATGAAGCTATTCAATACTAAGGCCAAATGATAAAGCGAGAATTATACTGACAAAGTAGAAAAGGCTATAAATTCGCGATAATTGTATAAAATGATTGATTACTTGTTGTTTTTGTTATGAAAAATTACATTTGAATAAAAATAATTTCATTAATTTTATTTTAAATTCAATTATAATTATG